GCCGGAGCCGCCCCCTCCTGCCCAGCGTTGCCGAACTTGCTCTAACTTCCTCGGCTGAGCAGGGCCGCGCCTCTGCCGCCGCCGCCGCCGCCGCCTTCGCCGCCGCGCCCTGGTGAGTAGCGCGCCCAGCCCCTACTGGAGCGTTGGGCCCTGCCCCTCTCATTGTCTGAGGCCGCCACCCCCCCTCCCCCCAGAGCGCCCTCTGGGGACGAGGACTGCTCCCCAGGTCGGTGCTCGTCCCCTCAGGCTCCCTCGTCCCTGCCCCTGGGCGACCCTGCGGGCGGCGTTGGCTTTGTTCGCCCAGATCACCCGCGAGGGACTGGAGGCCTCGGCCGGGACCCGGCTGAGCGTAACTCGGAGCGAGAGCCGCAGCAGACCACCCGGCTGGCACTTGGGACTCTGTAGCCCTCGCCTGTTCCGCGTCCCCAGACGGGTGCGCGCCGGAGCCCGGCAGGGGTGAGAGTTCTAGCGGAGGGCGGGGCTGGACCGCCGCGGTGCGGGGCTCTGCCGCGTGTCCCCAGCGGCGAGCCCTGGGATGGGTACTCCTTTTGGCTCCGTCATGGACCCTTGGCCGCACTAAGCTCCGGCCAGAGGTGGAGGGTGGCGCAGACCTGGGAGGGCAGTCCCCTCCCCTCCCCTCACCCGCTCCGTCGTGGATGTGCTCCAAGGCCCCCACCCCTGCCGTGAGTCCCACTTTGCCTTGCAAGGGTTTGGGCAGCCCGAGTTTGAGTAGACAGTGACCTAGCTTCCCTGCGTTGATTGTTGGGGATTGTGCTTGGGAGCATAGTCCGACTCCTGACCTAACTGGAGCTTCGGTCGAGTTGGGTCTGTGGCTACGGAGTTGACTTCTCCCGGGCTGCTGCTCCTGCTGGGGAGAGGTGGTGGTGCTGGTGGGTAGGAGTGTGTGTGTGTGTGTGCGTGTGTGTGTGTAGGGACTTCGGCTGTGGGGCCTTTGGGACACGTATCTGGGGAAGTGAAGTTGATCTCTATGTAGAAGCGGTCCGTGCTGGGGGCGAGGGCGAGTTTGGGGAGAGTTGTGGGCCCTGGTACTGGTCTGGCTGTTGGCTGTCGCCTGTCCCTGGGCGCTGGGGTCTGCTGGCATCAAGTCATCCGGGGCCGTGAATGCAGGGCATTGCATCAGAGCCTCTACAGGTGCGCGCTCTCTCCTGCGCTCAGTTCTCTAGGGTCTTCCTTCCTTCTGAGATGGGGGTCACCCTTGGGCTGATAGGAGTGGGTGGCGCTGCCTGCCAAATCCTTAATAGTAGTCTTCCCCCTATCCCATGACCTCAAAGTAGGGGAACTTAATGCCTTACCAGTGTTTGGCTTGGGCCACCCTTTCCTATTTGTGAAGGAAAACCTGGGGCCTAGGCCATCAGAGCAGCCCCAGCACCCCTACATCCCCTCTGTAGTCATCCAGCCCCTTGGAAGGACCGGGTAAGAGATCCTTTCTTCTGGGATCCTCCTGGGCTCTGGACCCCCAGAATGAAGCCCATACTCCTTATATCATGGCCTGATATCCCCTTCTGGCTCCTCTCTCAGCTGTCTCCAAGCTTTCTCCAATCCGTAGGATCCATAATGTCTGGGAGATAGGCCTTGGAAGCCCAGGCTACCAGAGGGGTTTTCCCTCTCATTGCCTCATCCTTTGTTGCACCCCACCTTCAGTTGGAGAAATTAATTTCTCCATCCCTGCATCTTTGAATTCCACTGCTTGGCCACCAAATGTGATCTTCAATTCATTTAACAAAGCATGGTTGAGAGTCTGGGGTGCCAGGGTGTCAGGTGCAACAGCATGCACTAGTCCAGGCTCACAACTCCTTAGCTGTCTGTAAGCTCTGTGGTTTTAGAGCCCAGGCTGGATATGTAGTAGATGCTCATAGTGTTTATTGATCTGAGCTTGAGCTCAGCTTCACAGCAGCATTCCGGTAAATAGGAGTTCAAGCCCACTGGCGCTTCCGAAGGTTTGTGGCAGCCTCTTGGAAGAAAGGGCATGAAGAATAGGGGGCCACAGAAGGGTTGGCTGCCCAGGGAAGTTCCTCCTTTACCAGCTGGGCAAGTGTTAATCTCAGAACAGGTGAGGGTGCCTCACTTCCTGTGGTTGGGAGTGGGAGGACAAAGCTCATGCTCAGTGTGTGTGTATGGGGCGGGGGCTGCCCTGCAGGTCATGGTAGTAAAGAAGTTCCCATGGAGGCTGGGGAGCAGGGAGTTCTGGAAGCTCTAGGTTCTGGAAACATTTCTTGAGGCCTCTAGGCCACTGGGTGCTCAGAGATTTGACTTTTTACTTGTTTAACTTCAACTAGAAAAGAAAGAATTCAGTTTGGCAGTGCCTACAAAGTACCTTTGTGTCATTCTTGGGAAAACTTTGCTAAATTTAAAATCTCCTGGAGGTTATGGATAAGCTTACAGCAATTTGGGGAAGGTTTCGCATATAATGATAGTTTGTAGAGACTTACTATTTGTTGAGACTTACACCAAGCACTATCCCAGAAACTTTACTTGTATTTGCTCATTTAATCCTTGAAACGATAGAGTATGGTAAATAATGTGAACATCCCATTTTACAGATGAGGCAACTGTAGCCTAGAGAGGTCACATTAACTTGCCTAAAGCAAATCTCAATGTGAGCCGGGTTTCCTCATTTCTAATCTAGATAATGCCTTTTTCTCAGAAGTGATTAAAGTTGATCAATGTACTGAATAAGCCTGGCCCACAGTGGAACTAGTAAGTCCTTCAGTACAGGTGCCCTTATATCCCCTGCTTCTGAAAGGATCTCATCTGTCTGGGCACATAGCAGGTGCCCCTGAACCCCTCCCGATTGGTGATGGAGCTTTTGTCTCCCTAAGGCCAGGGAAGGGGTAGACCTGTATTGCCGTGTACAGAAGATTGGGGAGTGAGTCATTGCCTGCAGCTGGGGACAGGGGGCAGAGCCCTGAACTGCAGTGATCCAGCCCTGCAATCCCCAAATATCAGAACAGCATGAGTGCCTGCCACCTGCCTGCTACCCTGCCTTCTTCTGTGACTTCTTCCCAAGGTTTCAGGTGTTATGTGTTTCTATGTCACCACGAACATTGGTCACAAATTAACCAAAGAAATGTTATTTAGGTTAAAGATACATTGAAGTGCCACATTTGAAAGGCAGAGGTATGGTGAACAAGAATGCATGTTAGGGTAATAAGAGGTGGCGTGCAGAGGCAGTTTACCTCTGTGACCCTGGGCAATTTATTTGAGTTCCTTGGGCCTTCTTTTACTCATTCATTTATTCATTCATTCATTCGTGGGCCCAAGGACTAATGGTGAGTCCCAGGCTAGGGACTCATGTTCAGCTCCTAGCCTGGTGCTTGTGGCTGTGAACTGGGATGATAATCCCTGTTTCCTGGTGGCTTTAAAGAGGAATATTAATACCCATGGGAAGGGAAGCAGGCTCCGCCTCTCCTCACTGCCTTGGCACATTAGCCCTTGGACTTCCCCATGGGCTATCTGTATGTGGCCAGTTGGGACAGCCACTTTTCCTAGGAGCAGGATCAGGTAGAGGCACCCCTATAGGCCTTGCCCTTCCCCTTCCACTTCTGGGACTCTGGGCATAGGGTTGTGGGAAGGAGAGGTGGTGAGGTTCCTAAAGGATGGAATCACATGGAGAACAGGCTTGAGCATGGGGCTGGGCCTGTAGAAGGGGGTGGAACCCCTTTGTTAATTGCATTTTCTACTTTTACCACCCTTGCAGGATGTTAAAGAACTGGCCACACTATGGACCTTGCTTTTGTGCTTTGTCACCTGCTTGGTTTCTGGGGATATCCAGCAGGGCCAGGAAACACTGGTGGAGGTGGTGAGACCTCAGGTTCTTCTGCATTGTGGTCAACTCACTATCCTTAGTCATAGTTCGCTCCCTCTTCTGTTTTGCCATCTAGAATAGAGGGAGAGGCGATGGTGGTCTACAGTAGTGGTTCCACTCTCGGCTGGTCATCAGGGTCCCCAGGGGACTGTGTAGCCAGTGCTTTGAGTATCTTTGGTCTAGGTTAATACCAGCATTGCCGATTTGTCTTGGCTTCTATTATACCAGTATCTTCTCCGATGAATCCGTGTTGGGTATTCATAATGTCTCCACACCCATTTTCTCCTTTTACAGGATTTTTTTTTTTTTGGTTCAGATAGGGCAGGTTGCTGTATTGGAACAGAACAGGGCCTGGCTGGTGAGAAGTGTTCAGTGCCTTGGCCAATTACATGTGAAGATTAACACCGTCCAGCTCATAGAGGAGTCAGCGATGAAGCCAGCTTTCGAATTGTGTCTGCTTTCTAGCTGAGTGACCTAGACAAGTCTTT